ATCGATGGTGAGCCGGTACGCCTAAAGATTAACACCGCATCTGACATAACTTTGATCTCAAAACGATCTTGGTACGCACCCATCGTCGTGGTCAAAAATGCTATCGATACCATTCGAAACTGTGCGGATTTCTCAACAGGCCTGAAGAATGCCTTGGATGGACACCAGTAACCTCTACCACTGATCGACGAAATGTTTGCAAAGTTAAATGGCGGCACCTGTTTCACTCGGCCGGGGCTAGCAGACGCTTACTTACAAATAGAAGTCGACGAGGACTCACGGAAAATGTTGACAATCAACATCCACCGCGGTCTGTTCCAGTACCAGCGCCTTCCATTAGGCGTGAAGACCGCCACCGCGATTTTCCAACAGGTCATGGACACTATGCTCACGGGTATTCACGGTCATGCTGACTATCTGGACGATATAATCGTGACTCGAAAGAAACCCACCGAACTCACACACTGATTGCACAGTGTTCTGACACGGATCCAGGAAGTGGGCTTTCACCTACGTTTGGAGAATTGAAAATTCGGCATACCTTCTGTGAAGTACGTTGGATTCATCGTCGATAGATATGGTCGTCGCCCAGATCCCTCCAACATTTAGGCTATCGATAAAATTCCTTCGCTACACGATGTCAGTTAGTTAAGATCCATTGCACACACTGAACGATCCCTGACGCCAGCCGAACATAATACAGCCGAATTGAAAAAGTGGTCCTTGCTATAATCTCTGCCGTAACAATGTTCCACAGAATGCTGTATGGTCGCCAATTTACACTTTTGACCGATCACAAACCGTTGGTCGCGATCTTCGGTTCGAAGAAAGGCGTTCCAGTTTACTCAGTNTACTCAGGCTCAATGCGAGTGCTACCTGTAACTTTTACTGAAGTACAACGGGCAACCAGACAGGATCCTATTTTGCAACAAGTTGCTCACTACCATCGCACACATTGGCCGATGCACATGTCCGGAGCCCTACCATAGGTATACAATCGTCGAGAATCTATATCAATGGTGCACGTTTGTCTCCTGTTATCCGAACGCATCGTCATCCCACAGGCAATGCAACGCAGAATTCTACCACAATTTCACGCTGGCCACCCTGGGATCAACCGAACAAAAACCCCCGCCCGAGTCAACGTCTATTGGCGTAACATGAACAAGCAAATCGAAGAGCGTGTGCACTCCTGCTTTAAATGTGCCCTAGCCACTAAGGCATTTGTCAAAACCAATTTCCAGCAGTGGTCAAAACCGGCAGCCCCATGGTTACGGATTCATGCTGATGGACGAGAGGAAGCGATTGCACACGTTACACGATCCCTGACGCCGGCTGAACGTAACTACAGCCAAAATGAAAACGAGGTTCTTGTTATAATCTTTGCCACTTCATATTTTTGACCGATCACAAACCGTTGGTCGCGATCTTCGGTTCGAAGAAAGGCGTTCCAGTTTACTCAAACAACCGACTGCAGCGCTGGGCTACTATTTTGCTGGGATACGATTTAGATCCACGACAAAAATCGGTCAGGAAAATGCTCTTTCACGCCTCATTGACCCTTGAATTCAGCAGACTGAAGATACGGTCTTCATGTCCGTATCGGTGGAATGAGATATGCAAACCCACATGACGGACACAATACGTGCGCTACCTGTCACGTTTACTGAAGTACAACGAGCAACCAGACAGGATCCCATTTTGCAGCAAGTCGCTCACTGTCATCGCAACAATTGTCCAACGCACTTGTCCGTAGCCTTACAACAGGTTCACCGCCAACGAGAACCTATATCAATGTCGGAAGAGTGCCTCCTGTTCATGTTGCTTTTGGCGGAGCTCTCAATGGGGCACTATTTCCTCGTCTTGGTTGACGCCTACGCAATATAACCAGAAATATTCCTAAGGACATGTGCAATCACCGACGCCAACATCAATGTCCTTCGTATGCTGTTCTGCACGTTTGGATGACCAGAGACACTGGCGAGTGATAATGGCGGTCAATTCACATCAGCTGTTTTTTCTGCATTCTGTGAACGATCTAGCATAATGCACGTCCGTGCGCCACCTTACACCCACCCCCTCAGTCGAACGGTCAAGCCGAACGCTTCGTGGACACCTTCAGGCGAGCAATTCAGAAATCTAACGCAAAGGGTACAACGGAAGCAGCCGAAGTAATGTTAGGAAGAAGAATTCGTACACCATTCGACGTAATCCTCCCGGAGCCTCAGAGCAAAAACACCCCTGGAAATCGTTCACCCTACAGCATTGAAGCTTTAGTTCAACCGCCATCATGGTACAAGGGACCTATCGTTTGTGAGGAGCCAAAACATTTTTGCGAGAGACTACCGCAATAACGAAGAAAGGTGGACACTTGGTAGAGCGTATCGACGTCAGAGGGAAAGGTCATCTACGAAATCATTGTTGGCTCTGAAATGTGGATGCGGCACGTCAAACACTTGAAACCGACATCCTGCACTCAAGAACCGAATCTTGAACCAGAATTGTCCCTGAAAATATTAATGGACGAATTCGCCATGCCAATTTCCAGCCGCGAGTCACAAAAACCAGCACCCTCAGTAAAGGCCGACGAAACCCTGCAACCTCGACGACAAACGGATCGCACGCGCACAGTAAAAAAGCCGTTCCAAATCCCCCGATTTTACGATCCTACGACCAGCCGTCGAGCCGACGGAGCCGAAGCAACCCGTCCGATCGCGCACGCCTTCGAGTCAGGCCACACACACACAACGCGCCAGACAGGCTGAACCTGATCTGATGATCACAGAACGTGTCAGCCAATGTTGATAAAATCGATCAATCGATATGTCAAGGACACAACTTGATTGGTGCATCACTGCAGCGTTCTCGTATGCACGATTAGTTCTATATGATTTTCGTATCGATATCTTATCAACAAATACACGCTGACTGCGGTCTCAACTTGTTTTCTCTTTCCGCGTTGTCTTTTGGGTTATAGACAAGAGGTGCTCCGTCATTCGTACTACTAGACCAAACACAACACACCCTGGCCCCCAAAATTCAACAACACGAACACCACCAACACTCCAATCATAATCAATCTCACCCAAACACAGAAACATGGCGCTTATCCCACAATCCTCTCAATCTCAGCATCCCAAATGACCTTTCCACATTGCATAAAATGTGTCCCCACTAAAAACTCATACATTATTTGTACAAGCAAAACTATGAGTGTTTAAAAAGTAGTGTTTTTCCGTTTCACTTTACTGCTCAAGTATTGTTTTCCCAATCTCCGGATTAAAAGAATCGAAAATGTTTCGAATTGGACTGATCATCAGTAACCGTGTCTCTGAAATCTCATCTAAGGAGTTCGGAATCGAATTTTGTGAACATCATTTGAATGCCAGTGAAAGATGTGCATATCAGATTCTCATGGACTTCGCACATCTAATTACCTGTGGTTCCCATTATTCCATTGGGTTCCAATATTCTTGTGTTAACTCTCGAATAAACACATTTCGTAACTCTACAATATCATCACTAGTACAAATTCTAGTTAACAAACGACCGTGTTTCACACAGTTTGTAAACAGTTTAGAGATTCAATTTTGTTTTTATTTCTAATTTGCGATATTCTTTCGCTTCAAACTGCATAATTTTAACTGAAATGTAGGTATCACACCCACAAAAGTTATAACAATATGATCCAATACAATTTTCTGCCCTGTATGCTAATTAATGTTTGTAATTTGCTTTGCACTACTGTAAATATATAAGTATCCTGTTTACAAATGTCAAATGAGCAACCATACTGCGCTCCACTCTTCCACTCACTTTCCATGACTCTACACGTTGACCCGTGAGAATTTCGAAGATCCTATTGAAAGTGAAGGTGGCCCAACGAAAGGCCCTTCAATGAAATGAGCAGCTTTGCGAACTTCTGAAACAATAGAAGCGCGCCCCTTGAACGTCTGGGCTGCAATTGCTCGCCGCCGTTGCATTCTGCATTTTATCTGCCCAAATACCTAAATATGCGTGTTTTAGCTATTTACACAAAGGAGTTATTGTAATAAATTCAGGATGTTCTTGCAAAATACCAGGTTACCAATTTTGGAGTGCCAGTTGCTAGCCGAGCGCATAAATACTGCAAACGAGGGAAACGCATACGTGCCGGTTGGCAAACTGCTCTTGGTCGTACTATTCCCAGCAAGATGACCGTGCCTACCATTGTGAGTAACAATGTTCGGTCTGTGTTTTGGAAGCTTCCGGACGTATCCTGCCTAATCCAGCGAAAGGAATTTCGCACCTCTTTTGTATTCAGGAGTCATGGCTCAAAGAGGATGAGGATGATTCCGTGGTGCAACTGGATAATTTCATCTGCTTCGTACAAGACAGACAACGGTGTAGGAAGAAGTTGGGAGGCGGTGTGATCACTTACATCAATTCCAATTGGTGCGGCATGTCCGAAGTAATTTTTAAATATTCCCAGAATGGTGTTGATTGCTTGACTGTAGTACGTCGTACGTCGTACGTCACCCCAAATTCTCCCGCTATCCTTTTATTGCCACCAATAACTTATACATTGCACCTCAGTGTAGATCGACAGAAATTGGCACATTTTATGATCATTTCCTCCCGATTATTGCCCCATCTCTTGCTGATAGCTTGCATCTAACAGCTGGTGACTTTAACCACGCACCCCTGCACCCTTTATTGTATCTAAACCTCAGCGACCTGGTTATTGAACCGACTAGAGGAAACTCTCATCTATACCACATAACCACAAACCACGCGGCCAACTTTTACACCAAACAGTTCTCCTCCCTTAGGCACCAGTGACCACAACTTGATCCTGGTCAGACCTAAGAATTACTCACACTCAGGACATTTTTCTTTTACTCGGCCAAAACACATCACGTTTCGTCAGCGTGATCATTCCCCAGACAAGATTGCCTTGAATAAATCGTCTTTTTAGGTTGTTACCGACTGTCTTCCTTTAAACACAACCTTTTTATCAAGTATGACACTTCTGGCAGAAGTGTTGAACTGTGTTTCTGATAAATGCTGTCCTGTGATAACTTTGTTCCTTCAACATGGCAGAATATCAACCCCTTTTTTTAAACGTCTTCGCCGTGAAAAAGAACGCGTAACTAAATATGGCAAGAGGGCTGAAATGCAACAATTATTGTCCCTGATCAAGAGTGAAATAAGACGGTTGGACGCCCATTATGCAAGTCAGATTTTTGGGACGAGGTACCGTAAATCTCTGTGGCGTGGAATCAATCTTCTTTGCAGGCAGAATAAAGTGATTTTCATTCCCTCAATTGATAATGAGTAACTGAATAATGCATTCATTAATTCTTCGTCCGATAAATACCCCGATTATGCTGATTCCTGTTCTCCAAACATGCTACTTTCGGTCGATCCCATCACCTCTGATGAGCTGTATAAACACGGGTGTTCTCTGAAGGTGTCCAACGCACCTGATCCAAACGACTTAAGTTCCACCCTTCTCAAACACGGTGCTCTGCCACTGTCTCAGATTTTCGCACACAGTTAATCTTTCACTCAAACTCCGAACTATTCCAGACTGCTGGCACCCAGTTAGAATTATTCGCATCTCAAATAGAACGTCAAACGTCCCAAAAGCGAAGTGTTTAGGATCAATTGCTCTCACCTCCGCTGATTTGAAATTGATGAAGCGATCAGTTCTGCACCGTCTTCAGTTATCTCTTACCACCCACGATGACACTTATCAGTTTGCATACAAACATAAGCGCTCTACATTAGATGCCATTTCCTCTCCAGTTCATTTCATCTGTAAGTCCCTTAGCGAGAAAGGTAAATATATGCATTGTGCATTTCTTGAATACTCCTCGGCTTTCGACTCGGTGCCGCTGTCTTTTACTTAACAAGCTTCACTCTTTTGGCTGTTCGGCTTCTCTTTTTGAATGGCTTGCAGATTACGTTTCGCAAAGATATCAGTATGTTAAGTTGGGACGAAGACAGTCAACTGCGTCACTCAATAGCTCGGGTGTAATTCAAGGTGTTGTCCTATCACCTTATCTTTTTTCACTTATATTGATGACTTACCTAATAGTCCCTCTGTTCGACATTTAAGTATGCTGATGATATGGTCATTTCTGTTTCCATATCTAACCAATCAGAACTGGCTGAATATAATACAAACCTATCCAACCTCGTTTCATATTCCACTTCATCCGGTCTTAATCTTAATCGTGAAAAATGCCATGAATATATTTTTCACTCTTAACCGTACGCCATCTCCCTCTGACAATTGTCCAGATTCATGGAAAGTCGATGAGCAGGGTCAGCCATGTGAATTACTTAGATGTCACGCTTGGAAGTAACTTTCACTGGTTCTTACACACCCAAAGTATTGCTCGCAAGTTGAAAAGGCTCTTTTTTTCAGATCAGAAGACTGCGCCAATTCTGTTCTGATAAAAACTTTCTTTCAACAGTGTGTCCTCCCTATACTCCTATACTGCTCTCATGCACTTTCCCCTGGTTTGTTGAAGGCTGATTTCAAGTTGCTCAGGCGTGGCCTCTCAATGGTCAGCCGTCTCTCAAGTTCAATTATCTGTTCTGATTGTCATTATGTGTAATGCCCATATTGATGCATGCTCAAAGTTTGCTGAAAATATCCTATCTGATTGCACCCATCCTCTACACACTGACTTGTGTGTATGCAAATCCCACCCGTGCACCCGATCCACGTACAAACGTATCCCGTCTCGCATTTCCACATAGAGAAACTCTTTGGTTCCCTATCTTGCCCGGATACTGACCGACAGGGAAAGTGTTCAAGGAGTTTCTCCGACAAAGGGCCATATCAGTTAGTATTGGTGATTCATTATCAGAGCCTATCACGGCTAACCGCGGGGTGCTTCTAAGATCCGTATTGGGACTTCGTCTCATGCTTGCATATATAAACGACCTGCCACATGTCCTTGGGCCTAATACACTGCTATTTGCGGACCACGCTAAGATGCGGAGAACCGTAACACCTCCTGAGAATCACATAGCACTCCAACAAACGATCGACGCAGCTCACCGATGTTCAGTCGCCAACGACATCGGTTAGCAGAGT